GAAATGGTCCTGAAAATTAGTGATGAACTACGGATTTTGTACTGTGACAATGACTTGATAAGTCAGTCCTAACTAAATGTTCCAGCTCGATTTTACAGGGATCACTCATTGTACTGCAGAGCAGCAGGTGATGCAGGTCACCATTTGTTGTCACTCATTTTCTAAATTAAATTATAAAACCGAGCAGTTTAATTGCATGTATCAAACTGCTGGTGTTCAGGGTTATGTCACAGGAAAGGCTCACAGATTTGTAATTAATGACAGTGAAACACAACAATAGGATCAGTAGAAGGGAATTAACAAAAGTTGATTTCTGTTTGAAAGAGAAAATTACACTGTAATTTAGGGTACTTCAAAATGGCACTTAAAACATAGAGGATTCTTTGATCTTGACTGTACTGTAGCTATTTCTTTTGAGAGAGATAAGAGAAAAAAATCTTCTACATGGCTGATATTTTAATGAGGCTTGCATCATTTTCTTGTTTGAGCTCTTACGCTCCTGTGTATCTTTTCAGTTCAAAGACAGCTCAGTAATCAAGTGCTGCATAACAGTTTTGCACAAACTAGCTTTGATAATCAGAATTTTTCATGAATCCAGAAGGTGTTCCTGTTCTGGTATACTGCCATCCTGCAAGCCCTCTCTTCAAATTAGTGAAATCAAGTGGCACATCAGCTGCAATGTCATGCATCTGCCTACTGGGTTCTACTCATGCCACTGCCACTATACAACAGATATCCTCCAACTAATTTCCAGATTGTATGGCTCATTCTGTTCCATAAAAATAAACAGAGAGGGTCAGGAAATTGAGGTAGTAAAGTAGATACTCTGTTTATCAGACTGGCAAAATTAGCAGAGAATATAAAGATACATTTGAAAGTACATGGACTCTTTATGCAAAGCATTATGTCTGCAGCTTCAAAAGTGCGCGTGCAATACACATAATATTTGTGCAGACACAATCTGCTGTAGATGGGAATTTATATTGTTGAGAGAAAGTTTGTATTTGTGCTTACTTACCTATATGAATAGTTTCGTAAACTGTCTGTAATCCTTATAGAACAAATTTTTTTAGTTGTATTTACAGAAGATGCTGGGATGTGATCTGAACCAATGCAGAGAGTATAATTTTTTTAATCAATTGCAGCATGTTAGAAAAGCACACTCTCTTCTTGTGCACAATGTCACTTTGACTTTGAAAATCACCAAATGAAACAGAATAATTTTGCCATCTGGAAATGAGAGTTCCCATCAAAATCTATTTTACATTGATTAAGGTGTTCACCATTGTATTTGAGCACCTGTTACAGTTCTGTCCGTGAAGGAAAAAAAAAAACAAGAATAACACTTTCACAAGACATTTTAAAGGATTTATCATAGTAAATTAGACCATTAGTCTAACTAATCCAGTGTCCTGCCCCTAGCAATGGCCAGGGCTTCAGAATATAGCTTCTGATTTGTCCCTGCTCAGACAGTGAGTGTTACTTCTCAGCTTCATGGTGATTTGTCGCAGGCCTTTTAGAGTGATCATGTCCTGTTATGCTCAGATGCCAAAGTTACTTTGTCTATCTTTCAGGATTCAATAGTCTTCAATTATTTATTCCCTTTCCATGTCAATCTAAAGGAGCAATGGGTCATTGTTATACAATATATGAAACAAGAAGTAGTATCTTGTTATCTGATTATATTAAATATGTGTTAATATGCAATTTGAATGATAACTCTGAATTAAATCCACTAAAGGCAAGGAAAATGTTTGCTTCCATGTTGATTGAAGATTACAGTGGGTGACTCCTGTAAGGAGTGTTTTGTGTTAATTGCAGAGTCGTGGAACTGCCAGCCTCAAGGAGGACAGAAAGTTAGACGGACCTGAGTGACAAATAGAAATGTCCCAAATATAGAACCGTAGAATCACAGAATGGTTTGGGTTGGAAGGAACCTTAAAGATCAACTTTTTCCAACCGCCCTTAAAGGGAAGTCTATAAATGTCTCCTTTCTTTAGAATAAAATCCAAGCTAGCGTAATCATTCAGTGTATTACAATAAATTGTCTATCACATCTTTCATTTTGGAAGAAATGAATGCATTTTGCAACTATCTAAAGATTATATACGGTGCTATTGGTTGGATAAAAGTTTTACCGGTAGAATTTTTAGATGTCTTGCATTATACAGATGGTAAAGAAAGGGATATATCGCACAGGTCGTTCTGCTGGAAATGCTAAAAAAATGCACCAAGTCCAGTAATCTTCAACTTTTTGCATGACATGTAATAAAAAACTGTATGATTAACTACGCCAGGAGTATGCTGCTCTCATAAACACAGGTGTGAATTGAGTCCTTACCTGGTTAGAGTTAGGCTTATTTTGGGTTTGTGGTTTTTTTTTTTCCTTTGTTAAGCAGTTTTATATACACACACACATATATATATATTCAGTGTGTAAGTAGGAGCACTTCCATTCTATTTAACTTTAACAACTACTAAATGTAGACTCATTTGCTTTTTACTGTTCCTTCCATTATTCTCAAACCACAACTAAAAGCAAGCACACTTCTTAGTCCAAAATTAGGATGTCCCCAGACAGGTGGTCTTGCTACCTATGAATAACTTTTAAATAATTAAGCAAGATAAAATGAAACAGCTTGGAGCAAGCTCCAGATAAGGTCCTCAGCTTCATCAGAACCTGAGAAAAATATACTGAAAGCAGTCGTAGCCTAGTAATAGTGGCCTGTGTGTCTGGCTGTCATCAAGCTTCAGGAAGGCCTATATTGACCTGCGTAACAAATATATATTCCTTGCTGCATTCCAGCCTGCACCCTCATTGGCAAGGATTAAGGAATACTTAGAACTTGTGAGACTTTTCCTATTACAAACTCTATAATAATCTTAAGGAATGTCTTATTACACACAGATGACTGCTTAGGTAATCAATATGGAACAATTGGTTCTGAAGAAGACACTGACAGCAGCCAACAACGAATTTGCTTCTTTCCTCTTGCCTTCAACAACTAGTGAAGACTTGTGCTGGTTTTTGCATAAAATGATCATGAGATTTCAGCTGAGAAAATGTCTCTGGTTTGTAAAGAACAAAGAAGGAGATGGTTTTGCTTGAGTGCATATGTTTTATATTTTCTCCCAAAGAAAACAGAGTTCACCCATTCATTACAGGCCATTTAGATTATCCAAGATACCCAGTGCCCTAAACAAAAGTCCTGGAGGCATGCCACAGTATCTGCAGCCACTGCTTACTTTAAAAAAATGGCAGTGCGTAATTAAATCTGATTGATTACAACCTACAATGTGGCACCAGCAATCTGCCCTTCTTTCTGATGTAGTTTGTTGCCTACCTCTTACAAAGCACTATGGCCCTAAAGAGTGGTTGGAACTGAACACAAATAGGAAAATTTTCCTGGATAACCACACTTCAGTGCCAAAGAAGATGCCGCATCATTCATTGGACATGGTGGAGAAAGGGTCTGGAGTCTTTCTGCCTGTGAGGTATAACCAGAGTAGAGGACGCTTGAGGGCACTCTGGTGAGGAGATGAGGCGTGTGCAGGGTTGCATGCGCTTGAGATACCTACTCAGTGAGGGAGCGCAGTCTTTCTGCATCCCATAAATTGTAGTGCAGACAGCACCACGTAATGCTCACTGCTGCTTAGATTTCACTAAACCGTGGGCAAAGACTGGATGGTCAGAGGAAAGGATTTTTCTTTCTGAGACCTTTTGAAACTTCTGCTAGTCTCTGAAAGGTGAACCAGAACTTTCATAGTCTTTCTAATTTTCCTGTTTCCATTTCGAACCCCAAACTAACTGCAGTGCTTCTACCTTTTAGTGAAATGTAGCCAAAGCTCCTGAAGGACAGCCTACATGCCATTTGCAGCCTGCAAAGCCTTGATAACCCGTAACGGCACTTTGTAATTGTAGCATGGCATTTAACTGAAGTGCTGTATTCCAGGTTAAGTCCTTTATACAGTCCCTAGCGTTATTGCCCATTTGTTCAATAGCATTCTAAGAAGGAACAGCCTCCCATGAAAAAGTTTCGGGATCATTGAAGTAAAAACATACTGTTGAAGGAACATTTCATACAGTCATAGCAATCAGTCAGTTCACAAATGTTAAATGCAAAGTATGCATTTAATATATTGGAAATTCTTTTGGATTCCTTTGGTCTTGTGTAGGTTATATTACCAAGTTTCTCCGCGGCATGCCCTGAAGCTCTGAATTAGTATCAGTACTGCTGTTATACAGATAATGGCTACTTCAAAGTTTCCACTTTAGATCTAAAACAAAAAAGAGAGTAAAGATACCAAAAGTGAAATACACTCAGCTTCTATCCTTCAGCTTCACAGTTGTACTCTTTGTATGGAGAAACATCACAGCTCCCCTTATACTGTTTCTCATGAAGGTAAATAGACACTTGAACAAGATAGATTGTGCTTTTTCAAGACGAAGCAGATGTACATCTGGCTTTGCTGCAGAGCCCTCTAATGGAGGACATAAATGAAGGATTTACTCCCACTTTTCACTGATGGAAGCTTGAAATGGAGCCTTACCCCCATTTTTGCACACATCAAATAAGCTAAACAGGTAGTTCTGCAGCCTGCTTGGTGGCCAGTAATTTTCATGTGTCAGGTCCCTTTATGTAGCCCTGTCAGTTCATCTAAGTCATAATTTGGATTGCCACCTACTGTGCAAATTACACGCTTTTAGATACTTGTATTAGTGTTCTTCAGTCCCAACCTAAAGTATCCCACTGTTCCTGTTGCAAAGCTCTTAGAAAGAAAGGTGCTAAACAGTGTGGTGTTCACTTACTGAAACTGCAGTTCTTGAATAGAGCAGTGTGGAATCTTAAGAAGGAAAAGATCTTCTAGTATCCTAGAGTTGAGTCTACTTCTTAAAATACGTGCGTGTGTGTGTGTACATCTGTATGTGTGCACACAGACACTTACTTACACTGAAATAGTTCCATGCCATTAATCTGCTTGCCTGTTCTTTTCTGTAGCCCAGATGATTTACTGAATGCACTGAATGAGGGTATCAGCCGTGCTGATGTGATCATTACATCAGGAGGTGTATCTATGGGGGAAAAGGTATGCTAAATTTAAGTATGACTTGCTACAATATATATATAAGAATTTCAAGCCAGAGTCTGTCGTCAGAGCTTCTGCCTTTGTATTAATGTTTATTAAAAAGGGATCTTACTGGTTTTGGGAACACTTAAACGTGAATTAATTAAGAAAATATCCTTCAATGCTTATTCCCTCTTTTCTTATTACTGTGCTATAGTAGGCATAGTACAACAGGGAACATTTTAATTCTTGATGTGAGTGATCTGCAAATGTGTTTTTATTTAAGGAATGATTTTTGTAGCTGTGATGAGGAAGGTGCTTGCTTAATAGCACATGAAGGCAACAGACTTCTTTTTATTGTTAGAGCAGGTAAAATGTAGATAGAATAAAGCTACTTTGAAAGTACTTCGAAAAGCCACCTGAGTATATAAGTAGCTCTTTCTTACTCAGCAGATGTTTCCTGAATATGCCAAAGCTATATCTGTTACAAAAATAGTTTTATCACATTTTGCGCCTGATAATCCTACGGAGGCAATACATACAAGACACAGTGAGCTGATATATTTGCCTTTTGAATCATTAACAGAATTGTTGATTGAGTTCCTGTTGGTAATCCCTGTGCCAAAACCATCAAAGAAAATAGGGATACACAGATGCTGGTGGGGCGTAGATGAACCTGCAGGACATTTATTAATCATGACTTATGCGAAGGAAAACTCAGATTACTTTTTGATCCCAGGCTGAATCTGTGAGTTTGGCAGGTAAAAGAAACATCTCTCCTTTTATAACTAAGAGATACTAAAGACAGTCATTAGGAGATGGCAAACATGAGTGCTGTTTTTGTCACTTTTCTGAGTAGAAATCATATTGTTGGATACATCATGAAAATGGATAACTGGTTAAACCAGTGCCAAGTACTTGTGATCCCATTATTGTTCTCAGTATTCCTGGAAAAATAATCAAGGATAAGTGCTGGTCTTTAAATTGGGAACGTGGCAACATAGTGCAGACACAGGAACACTAGGAAGTGACTGGACTGCTCAAGGGTCTGGCTAATTTCTCCCCAGTCTGAATCTGAGGCAACAGCATGAAGTCAGTAGGCTCCATATTCCACTGATGGTTAGCCCTCTGATTCTGCGCTTTCAACACTTTTAATGAAATAACTGCGAACATCCAAAACGTAAATAGAAAGTAAAAATGGGGTTAATGCAATCAATAATTGATAATTCATGCCTGGCTGAAAAAAGTTGCTGCTTTCCCAGTATGAACACACACACACAGAAGGAAAAGAAAAAAAAAGAGAGAGAGAGAAAGAGAGAGAGAGAGAGAGAGAGAAAGAAAGATGGCAAAACTGCAGGGGAACTCAGATTTAATGCTTCCAAAGTCTCTGTTCACAGATGACTGTTAGGTCCTGTGTCTTTAATCACACTAAACACAACAGACAGGATGCTGCATCTTTGAGCACAACAATTTTCAATAAAGACTAAATCAGTAATTCAGTTTGTTTTAATAATTGGATCGATTGTGTTTATGCAAAATCATTTAGCTTGAACTAATGTACAAGCCACCCACAGTTTTTCCTTTCTAAGGACTGTTAAACCCAACCGCTGTGAATTAGACCATGTCCCCAAGAAATTACAATAATTACAGTATCCTGGAAAACTATGATTTCTACAGTACAGTGTTGATTTCAAAAGTACTAGGAGATCTCTAACTCTACTGCTAGATAGCTTCCATGGCAAAATTTAGATAACTTGATGATTTTAAGTCTTAACTTTGAACCATAAAGGCTTTTTTCCATTTTGGACATAATGTTTTAGTAGTAGGTGTTTGTGGGGTCCTCTAAGATTCTGATGCTGCAGCTGACTTTTAAGTAAATTTATTATGATGTCCTCGTGGAGTCAAGTTTGGCGCCTAAAATGAGTCTGATCTTCGCCTCTTCTTTTTGAAAATACTTTCTTTCAAATACTGGAAGTTCCCCACTGGACTGTAGCACTTTCGGGAGATGAAAAGTTTTTCATCTTCACTTGATATTAATTAATTGCTTTGAATGCTTAGATGATGTAAGCCACTTTGATGTTACTTAATCGATTTTCTTTTTTTAATTTAAACAGGACTATCTTAAACAGGTGCTGGATATTGATCTTCATGCACAGATTCACTTTGGCAGAGTTTTTATGAAACCAGGGTAAGAAATCTTTCTACTTAGGCAGCATAGATGGAGGCTATATTGGGCCAAATATCCTATACAAGTGCTTCATTAGATTTCAGTCTTCCAAATACACTATAAACCACATGGTAGCTATATATGGGAAAAGAAGCAAAATCAAATCTTATTCAGATTTCTTATTCAGTCATCATCTTTATGGGTGAAATGAATTGGAAAAGAGAGATTACTTTTTATGAGCAAGAGTTATTTCTCTGATAACTGTTGCAAATCAAGTTTAGGGACTGGGGGGAAAGCAGCTTGGTATAAACATGGCCACAGTCTTCACTGTGGTCACAGAGCTCAGCTATTGATATTGTTATGAAATAACCAGGAAATACAAGAACATTTAACTGCTCCTAACTCCTTTGCTTAAGGAGGATCTCGTTTCACTTCAGAATTTGGGTAAGTCATATTCCTACAAAGCAATTTCTTAGGAGAGGTGGATTTACGGCTAATGTACAACTTTTTATCTGATTGGCATATTAAGCATAGTAATTTTAAGTTAAACACAATCCTTTATGTGTTTAGTTTGCCTCAGAAAACTGTTTCACTGTTGCTTTCCTTTGCTGTAGCACTGCTAATTAATCAGTCTGGAAGTGTGCTTTATAGAGAAAACGAGAGCTACATGTATTAAAAATAGAGAGTTCCCTTTCACAGTACAGTAGTGGAAAGATGTCTGCAGCTCAGCCTCGATAACCAGGGAGTGCAGTTTGTTTGCGAGCTAGGTTGGCACGGTCCAGTAACACAAGGCCAAGTGCAGTTTTGGGGAATGATTCCTTCTAGCCCATGACTGTTGCCAGGGAGCAGAACAGAAAGTGAGTGTTTGCTGTGAAAACAGACAAATACGTTCACTGGCTCTGCATACAATCCAGTGAAGGACTGCATGTGGATTTGGTGCTTGTGCTGCTACTACCAGCACCTCCCTTCCATAAAAGGAACAAGTGAGCTGAAAGAATGTTTCTGCCCCTGCTGGATGTAGCCCAGGCGTATGGAAACTGCTCACTGCTGCTGTCATACTGCTACAACCAATGTGGGGAAGTCCCAGCAGCGGGATCTGCACTCCAGCCTCTGCTGCTAACAAGAATGGATTACCTGATTTAGAGAATTCAGAATATTAAATTCTGGTTATGGCTAATCTGAAAGCGAAGGTAATTCTGTCCTCTGGTAATCCCTCTGTAGACTTGTAGCAATAAACTTTTAATAACTAGCCAGGAAAGCTTTAAGAAATCTTATTTTCCCCAAGCATCCATTTTCATTTTATGCCATAAGAAAGGTATTTCCTAATGATACCAAAACATTTGGTCATCTAATCTTACTGAGAATGTAAGCACTTTCCGTTTCATTGGCTGTAGTGCAATAGCAAATACCGTGTCTTAGTTTTTATTAATTCTGTCTTAAAAGGCCTTAGGTAGGAATTGCGATTACTATATTGAGAAAAATTCCCTTGAGTAAATCCAAGAGCGAAGTCAGAATTTACTTCGTATGCCTGTATTTTGATGTGCTACATGACTGCAGAGTGATGCCTGGGATTTACCATTCCCCTACTTGATCTGAAAGCTGCTGAGCTAATGTAAGGTTGTATCTTGTCTAGCAGCACTGCCAGAAGAAGGTACTGGAAGACTTTACCGGTCGTGGTGTTGAAATCTCATATGAGAATTGAGAGTCTCTAGTAAATATGAATTAGCAATTAGATTTTTTTGTACCTCAGTTTGGGCACTGGTTATAAGATTTGGAGGTCTGACACATAGTTCTCATTATGTTAGAGACATTTTAAAACAGAAACTTCAAACTGGTAAAAAAACCCTCCAAACTTCAACTTCCCCTGGTCAAATAGGATATTGATTACTCTTAGCAGATACACAAAACTAGGTAGTAATCACCTAAGTGTAGCAATCTCCCAAGTTGCTGCTGGTCAGCAACTGTCGTCTCTTGACCAGGTGATAGTCATTAGCTCAAGATGAAGCCAAGGAACTCAGCCTAATGACTGATCCTATAAAGTATCATTTCTGATGTTGAAAAGGATGATGTTAACATAGGCATAAAGAAAACTTTTTTTAATAAGTCCCTTTTCTTAGCCAGCCACATTCTTGAGCCATCACATTACTGTCCTCTTTGTTTAACTGTAATAGCCCTGATAACAAATCACTAAAGATCACTCAGGAGCAGCTCTGAAAGGCAGAGCGAGCTCTTTCCTGATAGAATTACGTCTTACCTGCAGCTCTGCCTGTGTGTCTGAATTTGTTCATCTGCAGACTAGCTAGCATCTGCTGCTCTGAAATACTGCTCCATTGTCATTACTGCTGTAGACACTGGAGTAAGGGAGATTAGAGACAATAATGTTACAAAAAATTTGGAGACCCTTATATGAAAAACAGATACAGCCCTGTAACTGCGTAATGTCAGTATTACTTCTTTGTTCATTGACTTCTAGCATTGAAGACTGGATTTAGATTTTTGATTACTAGTTGATCTGCTCTTAGATGTTTCCTCACAAGAAGCAAAATCGTCCACTTAAAACTTCATAGCTGAATACAAAGAAAAAACTAATTGTTCTTCATCACAAAGAGAGGATTATACCCTCAGTATGGAATAGGCAGCAGGTGCTAGTGAACTGCTGAGAGAGAGAGAGATTCTGTTTTGTTTTCTTTTCCAAACGTTTTAAATAATAACGTAATAATGTTCAGTCAAAGTCTAGTGCAGATATTAAATAGCTTTCCTTTTCTGTAGCCTGCCAACAACTTTTGCAACTCTGGATATTGATGGCGTAAGAAAAATAATCTTTGCGCTCCCAGGTAAGATGTTTTGGGGATTACTTTTGTTGCTGTGTATAGATGACAGACAGGAAACAGAACAGTGATATTTCACAGCACCTGTGTCTGGTGCTGGCACCCCTAAGGAAGGTACCTCTAAGGTTTTCCCAGAAATTTCCAGAAGAGACAGACTTACAGGGATATACTAAGGAGTTCCTTCTTGTTTCTGTCCGCAGAATTTGCTGGTGTATAAGCACCATCCAACAGTTTCCTTGGGTTCTGTAAGTGGTACTGTGCAGGGGTGTTTTTTTTCCTACAGCTCCCTCCACCTTCACAGTAAATGTTCTGTGGATATAAGTCAGTGCATCCACTCTGAAGTGTGGAAAATGGAGACAGAAATGAAGGAGCGCCAAGGAACGTGTCACAGAATATTCTTTTTTCTCATGATCATGCAGTGGAACCAAACGAGGGCAGCATCGCTTCACCTCCTGCGTGCTGCCTCGCCTTGGGAAATCACCGTGTTTGGAATGAACGACCCCTTAGGGACCTGGCTACAAATCTCTACCCTCCTAAATCAGGAGGAATTTATTTTATTCTTACTGCTCTGGCTTCGCATGGATTTCTGACTACACAAGGAGTCCTGTTCTGGATAAGCTGTTGGTTTTCAGATGTATCTCTGGTGCTTTTTCTCTCTCTTGTTTTAGTTGCTGCAGTACATTTTTTTTTCCAGGAGAGAGATGGATGGAGATCTGTCTGATCATAGTATTTATTTTAGAACTGTCATCTAGGGAAGTCCAGTTGTGTAAGTGGGTCTGACAGATGTTGGTTGTACACCTCTCTTCTGTGAGTCAACAGAAAACTTATAAATCGGTAGAATTCTCCTCAGAATTTTACTAAATTTTGCCACTCTGTTAGGGAATTGAAAGTTATTTTTCCACAGGTCTTGGAAATGTTAACTGTGAATCAAAAGCCCTATGAGCTAGGACATGTAGCTGGGCACAATAAACCCTGCCCAAGCCCCAGACAGATCTGGGCATAAGACAAAAGGCAACAGATGAGCAGAGGCATGTGGTGGGGCCTGAGGAACATGGGACAGTTCTGTCAGAGCAGGATTTCAGCACACCATCAGCCAGAGAGTGTAGCTTTCAACAGCAGTACTTGCCACGTGCCGCTCCAGTCTTCAATGAAATGTTTACCGTACATAGCATGAAAGGCTCTTTAGAGTGCAATTGCTGTACAAACGTGAGATCACTTCCAGTATTTCACAGAGTAGGTCAAGAGGGAGTCACCACCAACTGTCCTTTGTCCTACAGGCAACCCTGTGTCAGCTGTTGTCACCTGCAATCTCTTTGTTGTTCCCGCACTGAGGAAAATGCAGGGTATCCTCGATCCTCGGCCCACCATCATCAAAGCCAGGGTAAGAAGCTTGTCCTCTCTTTAAAAATTATCTCAAGATGTTGAAGCACAGTTCTTTGGGCTCTGAAAGGCTGTCTTGTCTGGGGAGTCTGAGCCCTAGACTGATTCTGGCAAGTTGAAGGAAGTTCACACAAAATAGAGATATATTCTCAATCTCTGTTAATGGTAATATTCAGTCCCATAATTTCTAAGAGTTAAATGGCCCATCTAATGGAGCAAGATATACAGATGCAGAGGCAGCCATTTGCCAATCAGGCAGGAAGGACGCTTTCATCTTTTTAAAAAAAAAAAAAAAATTGTTTTAAGCTGTGGTAAAAAATGCAGAGCAATATGGGAATCCCTAAAGAGTTGAATAGTTCTGTATTAGCAATGGAAAATATGAACTTTAAAGCCTTTCTGTTCTTGAGTTATTTATATAAGTAACCCACATGACCACTCTAAGCAATATAAATCCCTTAAACTATTCATTTCACTCTTACAAGAAATCATGGATATTGTAACTCTGTTTAATAAAGATTCCAGGCTTGTTATTATGATGTATTATTCTTCTATTTTTGATTCAAATAAAGTACCAAGGAACACATTACCTTTTATAGTTTTCCTAGTGTTCTTGGCTATGCACTTTTCTCTTACCACTTATCCTGTGTCTCTCTTTTGCCCTTCCTCAGGCATCCAGATATTTCTTTATCTCACAGCTAAAATATTCTCAAACGGAGAGCAATTTGTAGTGACCCTTTTGCATGAATTTTCCAATGTGATCCATTAAATTTGGTTGTGAGCCATCCCCTGTATGACTTTTTATTTCAAAGATTGGCCATTTCCCTTTTTGGCAGAGCTAGCAGGATTTTGAATGCAAATAAAACTTTTATCTTTATGCAGTTTAAGCCAGAGACCAGAAACTATAAAGCTTTTTTTCCAGAGAAATACTGTCTTTAATCTCCCAGTAAAGGAATAGCTTTGGAATATTCCACTTAATGCATGTAGACTCTGTCTTACACTTTGATATTATAATATCACAGTTGTATTTCCCTTAAATACTGCAGTCTCTACCTTCTGTGGCTTTTGATCTTGCACTGGGCACCATCTGACCTCAAAATGCAAGTTTTTAAAAAGTCTGTTGAAAACAATTGAGCAGATGATTCCATTATCTTAGTGCAACCTGAATGCATGAAATTTTCATCCTTTCTTTGCTTCTTCTACAGTTATCATGTGATGTAAAATTGGACCCCCGCCCAGAATATCATCGGTGCATACTGACTTGGCATCACCAAGAACCACTACCTTGGGCACAGAGTACAGGTTAGTGCCCAGTCACACAGACTGACAGACGCACTCACACAGGTCTTTGCCTTTCTCCATAGATGTCTGAAAACAACCAAGCGTGTGCAGGTGTTTTTTCATATAACCTTCCTTGTGCAGACTGATGTGCTGACATACTTGTGCGCATGCATACATTAGTACAAAGTTCAGTCATGTCATCTTACCAGCTTCACCATCAAAACTTCCTTTGTCTGAATAACCTGCCTTTATGCATACACACAGAGAAAATACATCTGTATGCTTGCGTACGTGCACACGTTCCTTGTTAGAAACATCCACCCATGCTTACTTGCACTCACAGGCACATTTGCTTACTTTTGCTCTTGTGCATGTGCTAAACAAACACAAGTTGGGGTGTAGGTGGGAACAATGCAAATAAAAGAAGTGTGAGTCTAGCTGGACTAGAAAAGTAGAAGAGATAGCAGGGGCTGTATGTGTTCTCTTAAAGCAGACTAAGACTTTTATTAGTCATGTTTGCCACCTAGGGATACTTGTGGATACTCAGCTGCAGTTGAGGTAAATACTGTATTTGAATATTTTTTTTTTAGCTCTATGCTGTGCCAGTTTCTCAAGAGATTCAGGTCCTTAAACAACTAATTGTCTTCTTGCTACATCCAAATCGTTCAATACAAAGCGCTATATACAAGTCCACAGGTCAAACATTAGCTCAAGCGCGTCTTACTGTTTACTCAGAAAAACTTCTTACCATTGACTCCCAAGATCACACAGCCTCTGACACGTTTCCAGGTATAACTCAAGGTATTATTTACATCTATAATGCTGTATTTGGTTTAAGTCTGTTTTGTTCTGCACCACTTCTGTCCTTACGGAAGCAGACTGTCTGGAATGATTCTTCCGTCAATCTGGAAGTATGAAAACCAAGAAACTAAAGGGCATGGTTTCTTACAGCATTTTCATTTTTTTGTCAGTACTACCAATACGATATTGTTTATCTTCAGGACATGTTGTGAAGCTCGGTGTCCCAAACAAACCCCTTCTTTTGAGGTGGCATGTGTTATGGATTTACACAGCCAGCCACCATAACAGGGTCCAACCCTAGGATCCCGCTGAAAGATGTAAAGTCCGAGTGAAGGTTTCCAAATCCTCTTTTATTAGTTCTCAGGTTACAGCTCAAGCTGGGTGCCTGTGGAGAGAGACCCCTACCCCACATCACACCCCTCAATTATAGCTGTACCAGCCAGCACCCGATCCCCAAATCCAAAAGCCTAATTCTGGTCAGTGGTCTCTTGATTTCTTACTGGTTTTCTTTGCCACTGGGCTGGCCGCCTTCTTAAGTTGCCTCATTCTCTTGGAATTGTTTCCTTGGCCCTTATCTTCTTCATTCTGCTCACATCTGCCAGATTCAGCTAGTTCTGTGTTATCAGCATTAGTTTTATTCAAAAAGTTTAAGTTTACTCTCCAGCAGTTCTTGCAGCCTAAGGCTTCAACTACTTCAGCTACTGGTGCTAAGCTACTAAAGCTAAACAAGACTATTCAAAGAGCAGAATACAGGTAACCAAGCTTATTCTCTAACACTGTATTTAAAAACATTCTAGACTGTGCTGGGTTTAGTCTTTGTACAATCAGAATTAGGTACACAAATTGAAAAATCAAGTCATTTTGATAGGATTAGAAATTCCAACAGAAAAGCAACTCGCTATGATCAGATATGAGGTACAGGTAGTGTGGAAGGCTGGACAGGAAAGCAGTCAGCAAAAGGAATAGGAGTTTTGAGAGCCAGAGCAACGAGAGGCTGACTAATTCTCTACAGAATTCTCGGTTTCCATCCACCTCAGAACAGTGAGATCCCAGCTCTGTGAGTGAGTTAGCAACACGAACAGCTTTGTAAGAACAGCTCTTGTTTCCTGCGTGGTGTGGTGCAGCATTTGAAACTAACTGAAAACTTAACTGGAATTTTTCTCTCACTTTCCTGTAGGGAATCAGATGAGCAGTCGTCTGATGAGTATGCGCAGTGCCAATGGACTGTTGATGCTACCTCCAAAGACAGAGCAGTATGTGGAGCTTCACAAGGGGGAGGTGGTGGATGTCATGGTCATTGGAAGGCTATGATGTCACCAGCAAGAGCAAAGCTTTGATGCATGTCCACATATCATTGACTGTATCCTGTAATATGCAACGGCACAGCTAGTTTTTCTGATTTGGATAAAAGTTGATCAGTATAGTCAACATCTTGAATTATATTTCAAATGGAATTTAAATAAATACCTTTTAAAAAAAACCTTTAAAACAAATCTTAACAAAGAAATTTATTCTGATTATATCAAAGCAACTTTTTCCTTTCCTTGCAATTGCTTTGTGTGTTCAATGCTAGTTCTAATAGCGGTAGCTTTTAGTAGACAGCAGTAGGTGCCTGCAGAACTTGTGTTTTTTCTCATCTTTAAGATACAACTACTTATGCTCTTAAAACAAGGCTGTCTGCTTATTTATACTAGCGTAGACAACACTTGGATTTCCCTTATTAGTGTGCTTCATAAACGCTTCACAGAGAGCTTCTGCTTGTTCTTTATCTTGTATCTCGTGTTGATGTGCACAGTGCCAAAAGCAGAGTGGCTGCACTGGGAACCCAATGAAGCCCCGAGGTTTTCTCACCTCGCTGCGCATTCAGGGATCTCTCTTGTCCCGGCAGCCACCCAGCTGAGTACTCTTGGGCAGTAACTGGATACCTTTTATTTCACAAACAAGAAAATTGCTTCCTTAAGTGCTGACAGCCTTTTTAACCAATACATTTAAAAATGTACAGAACTAAAAACTAAAAAAAATCAAAGACTGATCTTGTACAGATATTAGTGTTACCAGCATTCGTGTGGAAATTAAATGAGCAAAGAAATAAAACTAATGTTAAACAACTCTGTACCATAACATTTTCTGTAATGATATTGAAACTTAAATGAATAAAAAAAATCCTCAATCATTATTTAAAATTTCACCCGTTTAGCCTTGTTGTTTGAACAAAAAAAATAGTGGTTTAAGAGGGTATTTGGGGTGGTGGAAGAGGACAGGAAGGAAGGGAGAGTAGTGTATGGAACCTAGGGCCTTCCCTCATGTACAGTATCACGAGTGAACTGAAGACACAGAGTGAGCTCTCCCTCACTCATCTCCCAAGGGACAAAATGGAAGCAGCAATCGGGGGGGGTTACAACAGTCAAAGCTGGAGAATGCATTTTTTTTCCCCATCTAAAGCATAGCAGTTGCAAGCAGCCCTTGTGCTGCATGGTGTGAAATCTGATAGAGCATTCCTTTTTTTCTTTTTTCCCATGAGATTCTCTTTTTGATATTGGGACTCTTCAGCCCTCACCAGATTACGTGTTTGGGTAATTTCACCTTTCATCTGGGATTAAGACCAGTGCAGTGCCCTACAACACCTTGCTGCTTGGAGTTTGTGGGTAAAATGCTATCCCACCAACTCCATTCACGAAGCCAGAACATCTGCCTGTAGTATTTTCTGAAGATTTAGGGAGGACACAGAAACTGACTGCCACAGCGGACCAGAGCTGTGGGTCTATGATAACCGCAGAGGAGGGCATCCCTGAGCCTGGTTTTAAAACTAAACTCTTTGCTGTGCAACAGCCTGAGTACTCCCCCGCACAGGCCATTGCAAAGGCTGAAGGCAGGTGGGTACACACTGTGTTCAAGGCACTCCAGGGGCTGGTCTTTCAGAAAAACAGTAACACAACTCCCCGATCACATTTCTTTGTTCTGGGCTACATGTCCACATTTTTGATCTCTCTATGTAGCAGCAGGATAGTACCAACTTAAATTCACAGATGCCTGTATTTACTGTACCAATACTGCAAACCACAGAAGAAGGAAGAGAGAGGAGAGTTAACTCATCTCTGAGAACTAATGTAGAACGCTGCCTGTTATAATCCAAAGGATTATTATACAGTTAAGCGTGGTTACAGGCAGCACATGTAATGAAAATTGGAAATTTACAAAGGACACCAGTAGCAACAACCTGAGGGAAGATTGTTGATGCAATTGGAGATGCTAGACAAAGATAAAAGAGAGATGCAAGGAAACCTAGCCAGAAATATCTTGGGTCTGGTTTACATTAAAACCATTATTCAAAACAACTGTGGCAGAGGAAGAATTGGCACAATGCTGCGTATAATGCCTGGCTCTGTTTAAACCATATCTCGGCATCGTAACACTTAACTACCATTGTAACAAATAAAGCATTTCGAGGTTAATCAAGACTTTTTTTTTTTTTTTTCCAAATCACTGATAGCATAAACTGCTTTAGCCACCCTACTGTTTTTTGTAATGGCCTCTGCCCAGTGTTCAAAGTCTGATAATAGAAACAGGAAGCAGGAAAACAAGCTTTGCACTTTCTGAGAGAGAAGCACACAGCCTGGCCTTTGTAAACCCTGAAAGTAGTATGTGGGAGAGGTAACTGGGAGCAGTATAATAAATCATTGTTACAACTGTGTCTCTATTATCAAGCCTAAATTCTGAAGAATTTGCCTTGGTTGTTGTAATATCAATGGATATAAATGTGATGTAAGTAGATAAATTCAAATGACTTTACTTTTAACATTCCCAACTTACAGTTTCAAGGGAAGGTTGGAAGCTTCAGAAAAGAAATCAAGGACAAAGAGATCTTCAACTATGTGGTTACTGAGGACTGAGACTTGCAAATGGAAACATTTTAAGGAATATTTTCACTATTTTTACTTCTCTAGATAAGATTCTAGCACAATCAAAATAGTAACTTACTTAACAACAAGAAACGATGCCAGCAATGACTGAAGATAAGGTTGGTATTCCAACATTTGTAGTTTTCTTCTTTCTACAGCGTTTTCTTCAGCACCTATACAAAGGAATGACCATGGGTAGAAACGTACACAGCGTCCCATTCATCCATCTGGGATAATCCTACAGTGACCTACAAAATCCTACAGGAACTTTTGTATCCTGGCTAGCTGGTACCAAAACCTTTATTGTACACCTGGATGTGAAACATCATTCAAAAATTGGCTGTATTCAATCAGATAAATATAAGAATAGACTGGCTTCTTCCAAATACTAATTTCAAGACTTTAATTACAGAAATTACGATCCTAAGTCTATCTTGATATTAAAATATGCTAACCATGAAATGCCTTTGATCTGTAGGTAGTTATTACAGATCTGTATGACTCCAGAGATTACTGATTAACGTGGAATCTTTAGCCTTTTTGATTCTTGAGCTGGAGGGTTGCACTTCAAACATATTACAACGTGGATACTGCTTAAGGACAATATGCAACTGGAATCACCCTGCAGTTTCTGTCTCTGTCCTCCCCAGCTTGCCACTCTGCACCAAGTGTTAAAGGTTGTCGTCTTTGACACGTCGCAGTCCAGAAGACGTGCTGCTTGCCTCATGCCCGGTAAAGATGGTCTTCAGGCCACAGGCAGCCTGCACATACCCCGCATTGACCTCAGAAGTACCCAGTATAGTGACTGGATCCACGTTTTCCTTCCAGTTGCCTTGATTCCAAGCCTGTCAGTGCTGGGGTGGGGCATGCCAGCCTCGTTGCCTTCGTATGGCAGCAGTGTTCAGGGCCTGCCTCAAGTCATGCTCAGGAAAGCTCTTCAGGCTGACACCTCTGCCAGCCCTTGCAGGGTGGAAACAATGTCTGAGAGTGGAGTCTTTAGCAGGACATCTTGGTTTGGAAAGCACATGGCAGGCGAAGATGGTCCAGAACTGCCTATGGCCCTCTGTTATGTTCTAATACTCAGCTGCTCAAAAATAGCACCTTCGCCTGATCTGTTTGTGAGGGTTTGTGTTAGATAAGAAAAATATACATTAAGTCAAAACAAAAGAAACATATCACAGCTTTGCTTTCTTACATAAAACAGCACTGAGGTGTTTCCAGGTACCGGTATTTGCAGCTCGGACAAAGAGAAGCCAAGCAAAGTAAGGGCCAGATAGCAAAAAGCCATAAGTATTGGTTAATGCAGAAGACACATCTCAGGAAGTGCGTAAAGATTCATCAGCAAACAAGTTCAGCAATTGTTTTAAAGGCAAAGTCTCCTTCTTGGATACATTTATGTGGTATATTTGGATATATAGCTTTGTACTTACCCTGAGGAACTAGGTGGGAGAGTGTGAGAGCATCAAATAAGGAGTCAGAGCCCATTTCAGAATATGTTACTAAGCGGTAGATTGGGCTGACATGGAACGATCCTTAGATTCTTCCTCTTACCCAACAACAAACTAAGAATAAGAAGGAAGAGAGTAGATGTTGAAATGCTCAAGCACAAAATTTGCCAAAAATTGTATTTTTCCTTAGCTGGAAAATTCAAACTGGTTTTTAATGTCAGAAAAAAAAAAAAAAGAAAAAAAAAAAGCATTAAAATTGTCTGTTGTTTATGCTGACACTTTCCAAACATTTATAATAGACTTTTATCCCAAATAAATTCAGGAATATATTCCCAACCTAAGTATTTCTTTTGTGAGGTTGTTGTATGCATTTCCCAAAATTCCAGATAAGAAGCTTATTTGCTTAAATGCTTTCTGTCTACGGCAGTCTCCTTCCTGAAGCTAGTTAAAGTCAGCTGGTGTTACTCCCATGAAAATGCTGAATTTTAGCACTACAGGTTAGAGAGGGAAGGGCATTTATGCATGTAGTCAAAGAAAGCAGAGACATTTCTAGGACAACAAGGTGGTCAGAGTCACAACTGTGGATGAAGGAAAAGGATTTGCAGCAGCTGACGATCATTAAAGCAGCAATCTCTTGACTGGAGAGAAGGTAGTTTCCCATAGCAGTATTCGGTCCGTACATCACAATTAAGTGCCTTAACCTCATGACAAAGAACATGATCTAATAACTGTCACTCCTGAATGGTTTGGCAACCCCTTTGCCTTCCTAAAGCCAGCCAGTCTCGAAAGACAAAAACACAGCATTTGCACCCTTTCAGCATGATACTGTCAGCAGCTGAACTTCTCTATTTACTCAGAGTGAAAAAAAATCCACATTGTTGTTTCTTCTATGTTTTCTTTTATGGATTTTTTTTGTGGGTTTTTTTTTTTTTAAACTTGGCTTTTGTTTTCTGGTAAGTATATCCCAGCCTCCACCTGGAAAGGTGAGTCCCCATGCTGGATTTAAACTCAGCATTGAAATGCAGACACTTCTTGGCTAATTCACGGCAGGGGGTGGGGGGGGAAGCCTGTGGGTTTTGCAAATGTTACAGCCTCATCATGATGTGCTGCTAGTTGCATGTTTTCCGAAAGGGTTTAGTGACTCATATTCAGCATTAGATTAAGATTTGCTCTGCGCATTCATGCCATATACCAAGCTGACAAAGCTCTTGGTATATAAAGCCTTCAAAAGGGCAATGCACAGATGCTCAGTAGCTCTCTAGTTGTCAGACTGGTCTGGCAGGGATTACTTGCTCCATCCCAGCACTGTACAGTGACATCCAGCATGATCTGTCCCTATGCAAGGACTTCTGCATTTGCATGGACCAAATTTGGGCTTAAAAATACAGGCAGCCAACTTAATTTTTGCAGAGTACATTCACAAGCAAAACCAAAACCTGATTGTACACCAGTGCAATCCAGACATACCAGAGAAAGCAAATGCACCAGCATGATCTTGATAACCAGGGATTCAAAAGTAGAAGTAAAGTAGCTTCAAGAGAAGTATAAGAGAAGATGGAAGGTAAGTATACATCCGTGCAAAAACCTTAGAAACAACAGCAGGGTAAGATCTCAAAACCCTGCATTACTCCTTTTGTAGGTGGAGAACACTGCCAGATTGAGAGCCGTATCCAGATGCATTTGCTTCCATTAAAAAAAATAAAGAAGTCATAGTGCAATACCGACTTGTTATCAGGCAGTGACACATAAAACTACTGGCCCACTGGACTGACAAGGAAGCATGCAAAGTGGCTTTTGTCAGTACCTGACATTCTCCTCATGTGGATTTTACCATGG